CCAAACCCACAGTAGGTGGTTACAAACATGTAGAAAATGTATACCTTTCAGGAAGGGATGCTGTCGAATGTGCCTGCTCAACGCAAATACCTCAGAGAGATGAAGATTTATTTATTTGTTTGTTTATTAAATTATTTTCTTATTTATTGGCTTATCTTTACAGACAAAGCAAATAGAAACACTGTGACATTGACAGAGATACTCAAATATAGGCCAGCTGCATCCTAAGGAATCACTTAAACAGGCACGTTGATTATTATAAGAAAATAATGCAAATGGAGTTAAAATAAAAGAAGAATAAATATTGCAAGTCTAGAATAGCGTCAAGTCATCAGCATCCAGAGCAGCTTCCACGGGGACTTCCTTGCTGCTCCTTGAAGAATTTTGATTCAACTTTTATCAAAAATTATTAAACACAGTATAGTGTTACAATCACACGTCCCCCTTATTGATGATAGAGGTTATTCTTCCTATGGAAAGATCAGGTCTAAAGATAACTATCTTCTATAAGACTAATTTGCAATAGTTTCGACATCTGCTTGACCACTTGATCCAAAAGCTGGATCTGTGGATCTGTCCTCTGTGCTGAGGACCCGCTTATCAGCCCATAGACCTTTATCTGTCCCATTGAATGATTTCAGACTGTTTGCTAGTAATTTATTAAAGGGAAGGAGCAAATGACTGCAGGTGCAAACGTATTGGAAACGCCCCTACAGTATATATGAGGGGCTTGTGTTTGCAGCAGGCAAATTGCGAGATGACTATACAAAAGAAATATGGCCGTATGAGATGAAGATATAGTGGAATAGGGAAAATAGAATATATTTTAAAATAAGTTTGAAAGTGAAACAAACTAATACTCAGACCAATTTATGAGGACATAGGTTAGGACAAGTAAGAGTCAAGTAAGAGTGTTTGCAGCCTCCAACATGTACAATAATAAAGCAGAGTGGAAAGTTAAATTCTTTGCTTGATAAACACAATCTTCATTAAATATATTTGGCTCCTATATTTCTAACAGCATCTGCATGCAGCCTTTAATGTTAATGTTCCAACGTTAAAACACATAATAATGTTCACATTTTTACAATAAAATATCACGCTGTATAATGAAAGTATGACGAGCTTGCATTATGTTACGTGTTTATTTTGGCTTTTATTTTAAATATTCACCCGCGCTTCAAAACCATCTGTGAACCTGTTTTCGTCTTTCAAGTCTAAAGGACAAAATGCCAAAAAGAATTTGAGATTGGAGCTCAAATCGTGTTTAGTTGAAAGTTATTTCTTTACACAGTATAAACTTATTACGTCTATCAAAGGTCAGAATTTATTAAGGAAAATCACTCTAAGTCAAACATTTTTTAGTTAAAAAAAATCTTGACTAAACACCAAACTAATAATTTTATAATAATAATAGAAAATAATTAGAAATGACTGAAAACTATGATAATAAATAAATGCACTTATATTACAGCTCAGCATGGATTCTATGTTTGTGAACTGTTTACAATAAAGAGTTTGGAATGAGATCAATTTAGGGTTTTAAATCCATTGAAATGTGTTCAAACCAATTTACAAAGCAAAATCAAGATAAAACCTTCTTTGGTGAAATATTATTTTATAAAAAGACATGCTTAGTAGAAGTTGGAGATCGGCCTGTTGATTTAATCAACTGGTTTTCCTTAGATAGAAAACTTTGAACCAATCTGACTGGATGATCTGGTTGACTTGTCTCTGTAAACTGCTTCAAGATGACATATGTTGTGAAAAAGCCTTAAAGATATAAACTGAATTGAATTTAAAATTGAGGATCAATGGCAATGCTGATATGCTGATATTCTTACCTCATTCTCCTTTGCAGCTTATCTTGGGTCAGCCACATTGAAGAGACCTCATGACTGATGTAATAATATTTGGACCAATAGAGGAGAGATCTAAAGTTAGCACACAGCTTCAGTGGCTTCAGCTAGTAACCGCTGATCAGGCCCGAAATCTAGGTGTAGTGCTGGATTCAGACTTGAACCTCCAAAAGCATTTAAAGACAATTACAAGGTCGGCTTTCTATCACCTGAAGAACATTTCCAGGATTAAAGGACTAATGTCTCAGCATGATCTGGAAAAACTAATCCATGCGTTTATTTCTAGTCGAATTGATTACTGCAACTGTGTTTTCACAGGTCTGCCTAAAAAGTGGATCAGAAAGCTGCAGCTGATCCAGAACGCTGCTGCCCGTGTCCTCACTGACCCTAAGAAAGTAGAGC